CAGGTGAATGGTGGTGATCTTCAGCTTAGTAAAGACCTGCCATCATTAGAGCAGAAAAGTAGGTCCACCTGCTGAGATGAGGCTGAAGGAGGTGGAATGGAGGATTAGCTGATGGAGAGAGGTTGCAAGTGGAGAGAGCAGGAGCTGATGCCAGGGATGAAGGGTCCTCAAACATCACTTCAATCCAGTGGACAAAAAGTGGCAGAATCAGAGCCCTCAGCTGCAGACGGGGGGAGGGAGAGCAGTCCTGGAAGGCTGAGAAGCCAAGAGGACTGCAGAGCAAGGAGCAAAGACCAAAATGTTAGCAAGACTCACCACAAGGGGGTATAAAGCAGTAGTTCTCAAACTTTTGTACTGGTGACCCCTTTCACATAGCAAGCCGCTGAGTGTGATCCCCCTTATCAATTAAAAACACTTTTTAATATATTTAACACCATTAGAAACGCTGGATGCAAAGCGGTGTTTGGGGTGGAGGCGGACAGCTCGTGACCCCCCATGTAATAATCTCGTGACCCCCCTGAGGGGTCCCGACCCCCAGTTTGAGAACCCCCGGTGTAAAGGGAGCCATAAGAAATCCTAGATCAGGCAAGGGAAGAGTAGCAGCAAAGGTGCCGATCTGATGATGGACTTTGCAGAGCAGAAGGCTGGGAATTCATAGATTCAGATTTTAAAGCCAGAAGGGACCAACCTGAACCTCCTGTCTGACCTTCTGCATGACACGGGCCAGAGAATTTCCAAACAAATGAGGATCTGGGTGCAGGAACATGCAATGGCCGCAGCAAAACCAAAGTGGTCCAAGTGATGGGAGAAGTCAAGGAAGATCGCTGGGAATGCCGAGAGACCTGCTGTAAATATTTAAACAAGGACAACTCCTTTGAAAAAGGGCTGGAACTAAAGAAAAATAACGTGTTTTTGTTTTGTTTTGTTTTTTAAATAAAAGGTAGAGTCTTTTCATGAGATGAATGTTCTTAAGATGGTGTCTGGGAAATCTGGAGACCATCACAGTGAGTGAAGAGGAACCTTCAAAGGTTCATGGATCTCACTGAGCTACTCAGGATAGCTACTCAATGTGAACTGGCTCAGATCCAAACTCAGTGGCATCTGTCAAGGCAAGAAGAAATCCACAGGATCCAAGCACAAAATGACAAGAAAGTTGAGAAGATCCTGGGGGATAAAATTAAAGGAGTTTCTTGGAGATTTAGAAGAAGATACAGGCAGGGAAAAACCCCAACTCTAGGAAACCTATGAAACAAGACTGCATAAGTAGAGAATGGTGCGGTCCTTAAACGTCAGCCTTTGATGACTACTGTCATGGCCACATGCTCTGGAGAAAACTGGAATTTGATCATGAAAACAACCACCGGAATCCAAGATTTTAACTGTCCAAAAACCCAACAAAACATCAGTTGCGTCGGGAACCAAAGTTCTGAAATGGAGAGTCTAGCGGAAACTTTGGAGGATGGACGAAATCACTAGCAGAAGGGACTCGAATTCCGATGGAAAGGGATACCGACGCTGTATCGAGCTGGTACCTGTTCGGTGAAAGACCGAGATCTGGATTTTGAGGGAGGGTATTCCCACATGCACATATGTATATCACTGTAATAGAGACAGATGTTTTTTAATGTCTGAGGCAAACTTAGCTTAGAGAACTATAAGATACAGTGTCAGTGTACGTAGGATTTAATAGAGTAGCATGGTTAACTATATAGCTAGGGTAGAATAGGTTCATAGGTAGATACAAAGTAACCTGGGGATGAGACGTTCTTCAGTGGAAACCCTGAACTCTGGAGGTTCAAATCCCGATCCAAACTATCCAAAGACTCATCTCCGGTTCAGAGTAGAGACAGTTAGTTTAAGGCCGGGATGCTGAGTGAGGTGCCCAATTCCCATTGATTCCAATGAGAATCAGGCCCCTAACTCCCTTAAGCACCTACTGCCAATCCCAGCATCTGATGAGTGACTGCAGCAGAGGCCAGAATAGGTTTGGATTTGGTTTAAGCTGATTCGGCCTTATGTACATGCCCTGCTTTGAGCTACATTGCTTGCAAAGCGTTGCGTCCGCCCTGTACTGATATAAGTGTGTAACGGAGCATCCCAGGGTGCCGAGCTGCGGCTGGGCATTCTGGGAATGTTTGCAATCGATTGGGGGATACCTGCCGGTGACTAATGCAATTGTGGGGCATGGGGTCAAACTCCCATGATCCTTCCTCCCGTAACCCATAATTAATCTGATTCCCACTAACCATGCTCTGGGCAAAACTGAATTAAGAGTGTCCACATGGGATTGCACCATGTCCGTCTACATATAGGCAGCCAACCCCCACCCCCACTCCATATTCTTCTAATTTCAAGGAGATATCTTGTGGAGGCCGGGTCTCCTTAGCAGGGGTGGAGCAGCGGAAGCCGGCCTGGTCTTTAATTAGAGGAAAACTAGGACAAGCGTAGTCGCATTTATATGCTAGGCACTTCTGCAGCATCTCGGTATCTCTCTCTCTCTCTCTTTTTTTTTTTTTAAATGAGCAGTAGGTTACTCGCATCAATGGTCTTCGAGAGCAATCGCCCGGCCACGGCTGGAGAAAGAGGAGCCTCCATTTCCATTGCTCCCAGCCGGCAGCTGGCGTCAGTTTAAAACTCTCTTGTGGAGAGTTTGCTGCTGTTGTGAGCAGAGCAGTTGGCATGCCGTTCAGTAACATCCATTGCACCATCCGGTGCCTGAGTCTTGCCCTAGAAGCCGGAATAAAAGTGCAGACAAAGGGCTGCTGGTAGATGTTGAATAACTTGTAGGATTTCAGTTCAATAAACTAGTGGCTACTGTTTTTTTCAATTAAAAACAAAACAAAACCTGCTCCATGGGGTCTGGTTTCATTCTTGTCTTTGCCTTAAATTCTAGTATTGCCAACCCTGAGTGATCAGAAATCATGAGTCCCCCCCCCCCCCCCCCATCGCCCCCAAAAAGCATCAGATTGGCCTACAAATCTCGAGATGTAAAAACCAATAATAAATTGTGGGTGTGCTTTTAATTTGCTGTCAGGGCGTATAGGGGTCCTGCTTTCCAGCTTTTCTCCACCACCACGAGGGCTAGACACTGACTTTTGAAATGGTCACTAGACAGGTCAGGATAACTGTGTTCCTCGGGGGCGGAGGGGTGAAAAATTCACCCCCCTGAGTGGCATAGTTAAGCCAACCTAAGTGTCTGTGTAGACAGCGGTAGGTCAATGGAAAGAATTCTCAGGGAGGTGGATTACGTACGCCAATGGGAGAACCCTCCCATCAGAGTAGGTAGTGTCTACACAACCGCTACAGCAGCGCAGCTGTAACATTTTAAGTGCGGACAAGAAGTTTGGGTTTTGCTTTCCCTGTTCTTCTGCATTATAGCTTCTGCGAGAGCCGCCACACAGGGGGATTGAACCAGGGACGCCAGCGCGAAAAGCCTGAGCCGCTCTGGAGTGAGCTAAAGAGGTGCGAGTCCCTGTCTAGCTCTAATGGACACGTATCCTCTGTGGAGCAGAGACTGGGGGTTACAGTTATCTGCTGCCCTCGCATATTACAAATTCAAGCACCTTCCTCTTCTCTCCCGGAGAGGGGGGATTTGAAGTTCAGCCCCTTTCTTCCTGTCCCTGTCACTCAGGGCTCTGGCCAGAACCTGCTGCAAAGAGCAGGGGGGAGGCAGGACTGGACTTAGTTAATGGAAAACACGTGCAAAGGGAGAAAAACAGGAAAGAGGGGGGGAAAGAACCCCAATAACCAGCTCAATTCGCCATCACTGCGCGTCTCGCCTCATGCCACACAGGAGCAGCACGGTACCCGCCCACTCACCTGCGCAGCGTTTGCAGTCTGGCGTCAAGGGCACGCCAGCTGCGGGCCAGCACAAGACGCAGTCCCCGGCTTTGTTTTTATTGGCCGAGCGATGGCCCTAGCGATTTTGGTGGGAACCGGGCGAGCCCAATTGCCACTCCCGTCAGGCCCACTGAGGGCCCCTTTGGTGCTGGAGGCTCTCGCCCCCCCCTCCCTCCCCACCCACACATCTCACAGGCAGCTGTTTGCTAGAGGGTTTGGCAGCACCTTGTCAGCCTCCCCCTGCAGGTGGGAGTAGCTCACGAGGCTACGTAGCGGTCTAGCAGCCGTCGGTAATGGGGTTGCCTAGTGCAGGGGTTTTCAACCATTTTCCCTCCCGTCCCCCAACATGCTGTAAAAACGCCATGGCCCACCTGGGCCACAATACCTGGCTTTCTGCATCTAAAAGCCAGGGCTGGCATTAGGGGGTAGCAAGAAGGGCAACTGCTTGGGCCCATGGTCTAACACTGGCCCTGCTTGGCCACCCCCCTGAAACCTGCTGATGCCCCCCCTCCCCCAGGGGGCCCCGGTTGAAAACCACTGGCCTACAGGGCCCGCTCGAGGAAGTTTAGGAAGACGCTGGGGCTCCCAGGAACAGACATGCAGTCGTTGCTGTTTCCCCGCAGCTCCTGGGGTCACCTTATTCCAAGCTCCCCGGCCCAATTAAGCCTTCACAGGCTGCAGATCTGGTTTAGCTGCTTCCCGCCATGAGACAGCCTTAAAAGCCAGCGTTCCACTTCAAAACCTGCCGTAATCTGCCGGCGCGACAGGCCACAAAAGCCAGGCGTGCCGCGCCTGGCTCAGATCAGTGGGTTCAAAGGGTGGCTGTTGCCAGTGGCGTCCGACCCGTGCCCCTAGAAAATTTGTATTTGATTAGGAATTTCAAATGTTTGCCCCAATCTGGAGCCTGGGATTTTTAAAGAGGTGATTGAATCATGCCCGTGGAGGGGGAGCTAAGGGGCCTGCTGCTTCACCTGCAGCACCTCTGGAGGTTGAGCTGGGAGACATTAACAGACCTGTGACATTAACAGAATGAATGCAATGCCATGGGCAACGCTATGGGCCAGGGCAGACCCCCACTGTTACTGCTCTGTCTGTGGGGCAGGGGGAGGAGCAATAGAAAAGCAGAGACCAGTCGTGTCGATCCAATAAACAGGGTCTGGTTGGTGATAATTGGATGTGTTTTATTAGCTTAAAAGCTGGGTTGGCCGGTGGCTTTCCGGGTCACAGCTGATTGGGAGGCCAAAACCGCAGCTCATTTGGTCAGTAAAATGTCGCATCCCACCCTGGCAGACAGTGCAGCTACGTCCCCGGCTAGCGGCAGGGCCACATACACAACCCTGCTGGGCCATCTTCACTCAGGCGGCAGACCAGGGATTTGGAGCAATCAAATTTTTGAATTGTTCCGCTCCGGCTCCACTCCAGCTCCGGGCAAAAACCGACTGGTCCGTGCTTCAGCTCCGGGCTCTGCTCCAAAGCTCTGCGGCAGATGCCGGCCCATTTAGCATCAGGCTACTGGATCCCAGCCCCGATGATGACCCCACTAGGGGGTGTCGTGGTGCTGCCCCATAACCCTCCTTCGTTACTGCCGCACCGCAGACCCACGCATGCAAGAGGAAAGACGAACAACTGGGCCAATTTTCACGCTGGGTCTGGTTCCTTTGATTTTCACCCCTCTCCTCTGCCTCTCAGCCATCTCTCCAGGCGGCAGCAGCTCGCGGAGGCGTTGAGCGTACCAGCCAGTCCAGCCTTGTAGTTGATTTTTTTTTTTAAAGTTGCCAGGAATATTATCTCATGCAGTCTTTCTATTTAAGTCCGAGTGGCCTGCTGCTTTAAATCAACCATTTAGAAGAGAAGCTGATTTAACCCTCACTCAGAGTGTGTGCTGCTGCCTTCGAGAGGTAGCAGGCAGGTTACATGCGCACATAACAGCCTTGGCTGAGTGAAGATGCTCAGGCAGTACAGGCCCAGGCTTCAAGCTCCCGAAGTCCCAGGTTCAATTCCCCCGCCATCCACTAGCACGAGACGGTCTTTAGCTCTGCCAGTCTCGCTTCTCTCCCAAAGAAGACAACAATCCCTGAGGATAGGAAGTAAGTCAAGAAATAATACAAGAGAAGGGGGAAAAACATCTGTACAATGCCCAGCATTTTCTGGAGCCTACTGGGATATAAATACCACCACCAGTTGGAGATACGTTCCCTGGAGGTTTGGGCTAGCGCACGGTCTTTCCATCTGTGACACTGTTTCCGCGGTCCAAGGTATGTCACAGGCCGGAGTAGCCCTGCAGAGATACAATAGTAACAATTCTTTAGATGTTTAAAAATTCAGCCTGCAGGTATAATTAGTAACAATCTGGAATTTGTCATTTTCCACGAGACCCTCCTGTTTGCTTGGCAGGATTTTGACATGTATAAGCGTCAGCGACGTCTAGTTCAGGTTGCCTGATGCGTCTCATTATAAGAACCAGTTTTCAATTGCTTATAACTTTGCCAAACTTAAACTTTGCGAGCTGGAATTTCCCATGCTGCTAAGATGAGCCAATGGTTACTTACCCTCACTGTTCAAAAAACCCGTGCCTTATTTCTAGTCTGAATTTGTTTCGCTTCAACTTCCAGCCACTGGCTCCTGTTCTATAGTTGTCTGCTCGATTGAATAGCCGGCTATTGTCAAATTTTGTTCCCCGTGTAGGTACAGACTGTAATCAATCTCTTTGTCAAGCTAACGAGATTGAGCTCCTTGAGTTTTCATGTTTTCGAAACCTTTAAGTATTCTCATAGCTCGTCTCTGAACCAGCTCCAATTTATCAACAGCCGTCTTGAGCTGGGGACAGCGGAATTGGACCCGGGATTCCGGCAGCACGCACCAGAGGGTTGACAACTTTGTAATATTTAAAAACCGGACACTCCAGCAGGAGTGCTGGAACCAGGGCCGGCTCCAGCATTTCTGCCGCCCCAAGCAAAAAAAAAAAAAATCACAATCGGCGGCGGCAATTAGGAAAAAAAAAAAAAGCCGCGATCGGTGGCGGCAGTTCAGCGGCAGGTCCTTCACTCCTAGAGGGAGTGAGGGACCTGCCGCCCCCGAATTGCCGCAGGTGCCGCCCCTCTCCCTTGGCCGCCCCAAGCACCTGCTTGTTAAGCTGGTGCCTGGAGCCTGCCCTGGCTGGAACCCACCGGCCTCTTCCCCTGGAGGTCCCACCCCTGCTCCGCCTCTTCCCCCAAGGCCCTGCCCTCATTCACTCCTCTTCCCCCAGCCCCCCCCCCCCCTCCCCAACTCGCTGCTTTTCCCCTCTCCTCTCCCTCAGCCTGGGTCGCCTGCAGAGCGGAGGCTGGGAGCGACAGCTGCCCAACGCAGGTAGGAGGTGGCCCCAGGTGAGTAGGGGCTGGCGCAGGTCCCTGCCCGCAGTAACTGGACTTTAGGTGTCCGGTCAGTAACTCTGACCAGACACTGTCAGGCCCCCTTTTTGACCGGACTTTCCGGTTGAAAACCAGACACCTGGCCACCCTATCGCACCAGTGCCAAACACAGAGGTAAAACACCACGACAGTTCCTACTCAAGATTCTCCTGTTTATGCATCCAAGGATTGTATTACCCCTTTCTGGTCACAGCATTGCATCAGGAGCGCATTATCCACCACAATCCCCAAAGCCTTTTCCGAATCACTGCTTCCCGGGAATGAGTCCCCCATCTATGGCCAACAGTCTTTGTTCACAGAGGTACACATTTACATGTAGCCCTATTATAATGCACATTGTTTGCTTGCATTCAGCTTACCAAGAGATCCAGCTCGCTCTGTATCAGTAACCTGTCCCCTTCATTATTTACCACTCCCCGCAGTGTGTGTGTCATCTGCAAATATTACCAGTGAGGCTTTTATGTTTTCTTCCAAGGCATTGGTAAAAATGTGACACAGCTTAGGCCAAGACTTGATCCCTGCGGGACGCCACTGGAAACAGACCCAGTTGATGATGATGATTCCCTGTTTACAGCTACATTTGCAGACGGATCAATTACCCAGGGTTTAATCCATGTAATGTGGGCCGTGGTCATTCTAGTTTTTTTAATCCAAATGTCGCGCAGTACCAACTCAGACGCCTTCCAGAGGTCTACGTCTATTACGTCAACACTGTTACCTTCATCAATCAAACGTGTAACCTCACCAAAAATATACAACACGTTAGTTTGACAGGATCTATTTTCCATAAATCCATGTTGATGGGCATTAATTATATGACCCTCCTTTAACTCTCTGTTAATCAAATCCCATATCAACCACTCCATTATCTCTATTTCAGGGACTCCCTGCAACACCCATCTTCACATCCTCCCCCAGGCCAGGGGCTCTAAGCATCTCTCATGACACCCCCATGCCAGGGGATCTGTGTGCCCCTTATTTCCCCCTCTCCCCCATGCCAGGGGCTCTGGGTTAATGGGTGTCCCCCATGACCCCCCCCTGCCAGGGACTCTGTGCCCCCCCATCTCTCCCTCCCCCCTGACAGGAGCTCGGTATAGCCCCCATTTCCCCTTTCTCTACACACCAGGATCTCTGTATGACCCCCATTAGCTCCGCCCCCCCATGCCAAAGCTTCTCTGTCCCCCCACCTCCACCTGGGCGCTGTCCACACATTTTACCCTGGATCAAGGCTCAACAACTGCTGCGGTTGTTGCCCCTTCCCCCTCCGCGCCCTCCCAGTCCTTACGTATTGGTGCTCCCCGGCCACGCGCTCCCCCCACCGTGCACTGTTCTCGCACAGCGCCGCCTTCTCTGAACCCCCGTCTTCTCCCGGTCGGGGCGCCTCCCCCGCCTGCTCCCCCTCCAGCCGGTGCGTGCGGCGATGCCGGCTCAGCGTGGCGCTCTGGCTGAAGATGCGGCCACACTGGGGGCAGGCAAAGGGCTTCTCGCCGGTGTGGACGCGGCAGTGGGCGGCCAGGTGGGGGCGCTGGCTGAAGCGCTTGCCGCACTGGGGGCAGGGGTAGGGCCGCTCGCCGGTGTGGGTGCGCTGGTGCAGGATGGCGGCAGAGCTCTTGCCGAAGGCCTTGCCGCACTGCTCGCAGCGGTAGGGCCGTTCGCCGGTGTGGGTGCGCTGGTGCTTGAGGAGGTTGGAGCTCTGGCTGAAGGCCTTGCCGCAGGCCGGGCAGCGGTAGGGCCGCTCGCCGGTGTGGGTGCGCTGGTGGCGGATCAGGGTGGAGCTCTCCCCAAACCCTTTGCCGCACTGGGTGCACCGGAAAGGCTTGTGGCCCAGGTGGCCCCTGCGGTGTTTGAGGAGGTTGGAGGTCTGGCTGAAGCTCTGCCCGCACTCGGGGCACTGGTGGGGCCGCTGGCCCCCGTGGGTCTGCCGGTGGGTGCGCAGGTGCTGGCTCTGGGAGAAGCTCTTCCCGCACTGGGTGCAGAGGAAGGGACGCTCGCCCGTGTGGACCCGCTGGTGGGCCAGGAGGTGCTGGCTCTGGGCAAAGGCCTTGCCGCATTCAACGCACCGGTAGGGCTTCTGACCCAGGTGGGTGCGACGGTGACGCAGCAAGTTCGAGCTCAGGCTGAAGGTTTTCCCGCAGTCGGTGCAGGCGCCGGGACGCCGGGATGCCGATGGGTCTAGGAGATCCCGCTCAGTGGGGTTTTCCCCGGCCCCACACAAGCTCTGCTGGGAGATGTCCCCTCCAGGTCTCCTGGTGGTGACGTCTTGGAGATCCCGCTCTGTGGAGTTTTCCACGGCCCCCCGCAGACTCTGCTGGGTGACATCCCCTCGGGGTCGCCTGGCCCCCAGTGGGGTGGTGGAGGTAAGGTGATCTTGCTCCACGGGGTTTCCCCCTGCCCCAGGCTGGATCTGCTGCGAGACATCCCCTCCAGTTCTCTCTGCTGACGCCCCGCGCGACTCCGCTTTCTCAGCGCCCTCCCACAGCGGGGTGTCCTCTTCAGTTTGGCTCAGGATCTGGTGATCTGCTGGCATGAAAAGGAGACTCCAGACATGGCTACATTGCTCTTTAAAGTACTGACGTGTTCCCTGATACTACAATCCCCCTCCCCCACTCCTAATGACCCCAGGGTAACTTCCCCACCCCAGCCTACCTAAGGTATTTACTATGGTCCCCATCACCTCTGTATCTGAGCACCTCACGCTCTTTAATGCATTTATCCTCACAACCCCCGGTGAGGCAGGCAGCGCTATTACCCCATTGTACAGATGGGGAAACTGAGGCACAGAGACTAAGGGTATATCTACACGGCAATAAAAGACCCATGGCACAGCTGTGGCTGCCAGGGTCAGCTGACTTGGGCTTGTGGGGCTCAGGCTGTGGGGCTAAAAACTGTAGTGTAGATGGTTAGACTTGGGTTGGTTGCAGCCCGAGTCTGAATCCCCAGAAGGAGGTTGGATCTCGGTGCCCAGACTCCAGTCTGAGACCGAACCTCTACACTACAATTTTTAGCCCTGCAGCGTGAGCCCAGCAAGCCCGAGTCAATTGACCCAGGCTCTGACACTCGGTGGCGTGGATATTCTATTGCCAAGGTACATTTACTCTGCAATGTAATCTTGGGCTCAACCCCCACTTCCATCTACACACAATTCTGTCTGACTCAGGCCTGGGCCTCAGGACCCCACTGGGGGATGGGTTTGAGCCTGTGGGTCCAGCTGGGACTCGGGCCCAAACTCCATCATTTCGCAGTTAGGATGCAGTTAGCCCCTCAGACCCTGAGTCAGCCAATCCTATCCCACAATCCCACGGCCGGGTGCTCTTTGACCTTGCTATCCCAAGAGTAGCCAATCAACTCCCAGGAAATGGAAGCAATCCCCTGGTTCAAATACAGCAGCTCGGCGTTGAACCCTTCCATTTTATTCTGACCCCTGAGCGGCAAACGCCATGAACCGCCTCCTGCGTTTGCAATAGCCACCAAGCAGAAGAAATGCTTTGCCGAGCGCGCCGCTCCCAGGAGCACAGCCAGATTTTGGAAAAGCTCTGGTGCGAGGCGAGCAAACAGTTGGGTTTTAGTAAGAGCACCAGGAATGCCCACGCCCACCAGGAGATAGCGAAGAACGGCGTCACTGGACCGGAGACCACTGCCTTTCTCCGCTAGATTAAAGAGACCTTTAGTATCCAGCATTTTCTCCCTGGGATGGGACTTTGTGCACTGTAATCAAGTCACGTCTGGATCTGCTGTTTGTTAAGCTAAACAGACCAGCTCTATCAGTCTCTCCCAGTAAAGCATTTTATCCAGCCCCCAAATCATTTTTGTGACTTTTCTCTGCACCCTCTCCAATCGTCCAAAGTCTGTTTAAAATGTGGACACTAGCACTGGATGCAGTATTCCAATACCAGTCTCTCCAATGCCATATACCCAGGTAAATTTACCTCCCTACTTACTCCCTACTCCGAAGCAATTTTTCCAGCCCTCAAATCACTGTTACTTGTGAACTTCCTGCAAATACTCAGACAAGCATTCACTATTCACAGTGGGTGAAATTCACTGCAATGCAGATGCTCACTCAAGACCCATTGAACTACAAGGGCTGAGGGGTAATTAAGTAGTCCATAGACCCAGTGCTGGCCCCCTCGCACACACGAAAGCTCCAGAAAAGCGAATGATTGTAGATCAAGCCTAATCGCCAC